CTCGTAAAGCGGGGCACTGTATTTACACCACGTTGTTGCCTCGTTTAATGACAGATTGTCTTTATTCCAAATGTCTTTGTTCAACAAATGAAAAGATTTAACGAGGTAAAATCCTGCCGGATACATTTCTTCTTTCCCCAAGACATTATGAAAACATATTTAAATTACCATCATTTTTACTCGGTTTTTTAGTTATTATTATTAGTAGTAGTAGTAGTATTAATTTTTTACAATTCTACTGCCTGACTTCATACCTGACGCTCTGTCTAAAGTAAACTTAGATCTAGTCTCACTGGATCACACAAATTTAAGGACTATCTGTTTTAAATTAAGCAAACACTATCATATGTTTTAAATATAAATGTTTCTCCCCCTCTTTTTTTTGTTTTTTAACTTTGAAGAGCTTTTTTCTGACATGAAAAGCAATTTTACCTAGTAGTGCGTGGTGGCAAAATATATATATATATTTATATATATAACACAGTTGATATCGTCTTTTAATGTGCAAAAGGAAAAAAAAATCATAATAATACCGGGACTTCCCAAAGTCAAGTCCAAGTGACATGAGACCCTAGAGAACTCAGACACATGAAGAGAATAAATAAAAATCGAAACCGCCTCTCTCTCTCTTTTTTTTTTTCCGCTTCCGTCCCAAAAGGGCAGTTCAAGGTTTGCTTTTTGTTTTTTGTTTTTTGAACACATTTACAACTCTCACAAGTTTCGGGCTCCTATCTGACCCTGCGATTGCAGATTTCCCCCCCCACCCCCCCCACCCCCCGAGCCTGGAGACGACTCTCCGGGCGAGTGGCGTCCCAGCACGGTGCACGGGGCAGCAGAGTCCTGCTTCGGGTGGCATTTTGCTTCTGCAGGTTTTATGTACATGCACATGAATGAATCCCAGTTCCGGCTGCAACCCAAGGCTCGCTCGGGGCGGGGGGGACGCCTGTGGGGGTGTGGGTGGGTGTTACATAGCAGTCGCATGTGCTGAAGAATAGGGGTCTATCCCAGTCTTGGTCATGCCCGGGAATAATATGTAGGCAACTGGAGGCTGCAAACTGGAAGCCGACCAAGCTGTACAGTTACATGGCACGACATAGCCCGGGTTAGTTGGCGAGGGGTGAGTATGGGTGTGTTGGCTGGGACAGCTCAAGCTGCCAAACGCCCCGTTCTGGTATCCCAAGGTGGAGGCGTAGGGCAGGGTGCTGGTGGCTAAGGTGTGAGGAACCTCAGTCATCTTCTGAATGGCGCTGGAGCTGAACTGGCTGGGGTCAAGTAAGGAGTAAGGTGCTGAGGTGGGAGGCAGGAAAGCCCTGGCCTTCTCCGGGGAGCTCAGCAGAGAGTCAGTGGCCCCCACGGGAAGCCCGGCGGCCTTTAAGGGATCGGTTTCCCCGAGGTAAGGCAAAGGGAAGACATACCTGTCCTTTTTGAGCAGGTTCTTGGGCTTGCGCCGGGGTCTGTACTTGTAGTCGGGATGCTCCTTCATGTGCTGCGCCCGCAGCCTCTTGGCTTCGTCGATGTAAGGGCGCTTCTCCGCCTCGGAGAGCAACTTCCACTCGGCGCCCAGCCGCTTACTAATCTCCGAGTTGTGCATTTTGGGGTTCTCCTGGGCCATCTTGCGCCGCTGGCCGCGGGACCACACCATGAAGGCGTTCATGGGGCGCTTGATGTGGTCGCTGGGCTTGGACATGCTTCGGCCGGGCGGGCGGCTCGGCTCGGCTCGGCTCGGCTCAGCTCGGCTCGGGGCAGGGATGGGGCGGGGGAAGGGGGAAGCGCGTTGGCCGCCC